AGGAGGTTGGCCGTTCTTAATCAACAATGCCTTGATACTAGCATTTACATTTCATCTAGATCCAGCTGGCTCTTGCTCCTTAGCGTTATAGCGATAGTAGTACCATAGCGGCAACGATTTTTGCTTGGGTTGCTCGCTCGCTCTCTTATTCTTCTTGGCTCCTTTTCTCTTTTTCCGGCTACTTCTGCCGTACTCCCTTTCTCAGCACAATAGCGCCCGAATATCCATCTCGGACACGGACCTTACACAGGTATCTACCCCACTACCACCAACACAACCTCCTCCCCCTCCTCGTGACTTCCCTTCTTTTTCTTCGTATCTCGGTAGAACAGCAGCAGTGCTATAGCCCAGCCCAGTGTCGGGGAATAATTTCATTTTCTTGCCCGAGTACAATTTTGCTTTCAATTTATTTTCTCCCCTTTTTCCTTCCTCGCGAGCGAACGAACGACTTCTCTTCTCCCCCAACCCCCTCTTATTCTTTCTCGGTGCGTGAGCCGCTTCTTTCCCTCTTTCGCTTCTTCGTCTTCTTCTTTGCTCTCTGGACTCGAAGCCGATCCCCATTCCACCCCCCCTCCTCTATATCTTTCTTTTCCCGGAGAGCCAGACTTTCGTTCTTCTGCCTCGCTCCCCCAGCTTTTTCTTTCGCCCTTGCACAGCAGCCTTTATCTGGCGCGAGGCGAGGCTCCGTCCGTTCATTATGTCCCAGCTCCCCCTTTTATTTCCCTCCCCTGCGCCTCTCCCTACTTCTGCTCCCCCACGGGTTTCGCGGGGCTTTCCTTCGACTGTCCTTTTTTTACCTCCTTACCTCGGCTGTTCTTTTCTTTGGATGCTCGGCAGCGGCTCCCAAACAGTTTTCAATGAAAATCGGTGCTCGCGAAAAACAGCATTCGATTATACGGCGAATAAAAAGTTTATGATATATATATACATACTGGGTAAGCAGAACAAAATGCAACGGAATTGTCGGTTCCAGTTTGCAAAAGTTGAAAGAACTGTTGTTTCGGAGGCCCCATCCCCTCACCCCCCGCGGAACCCGCGATTTCAAAACTTTGATCGGAACTTTTATTTCACGTTGGACGCAAGAGAAAGAGTCCGCGCAAATATGGTAACAAACTTTCTTCTGATGCTCCTTTCATTCTTTCGGCTCGAACGTATACGCACACAGTTTGCTTCGCTAGTATTTTGTACACCACCAGTAAAAGACACGGTAAGTGTATCTGTCGGTGGGTTAGTTTTACATGATCCAGTTCGTTTGTATACCTGTATGAAATACTTTAATGAACTAAAAAATAAATCGTTATGACATGGAAAGTAATAATATCCTTTTGAATACGATTAGAAAAGAAAAATTACGGTTTTAGTAGTAGCAAACAATTAGTAACTGTAATATTATTTTGCTCACGTGTCTTACCAAAAATACTAGTACCATGTATTATTTAGTCATGATTTATTTTTAATAAAAAATGTGTACGAAATCCAGCAAAATTAAATGTTTTTTATACCTTATCGTCGATAATCGGTGTCTACATCAGTCCGTGGTTTCAATTTTACAAATGCAACCACTGGCATTCGGACACTTGATAGAGTATAACGAACCGATCATATTATTTTCACACGCAGCTTAATGTACAGTCATACATGTATATTAATTCTATTACTCAAAAATCTCTTGAAACACAATAGGTACTTTTATATAATATTGGTAATGACTTTGGTGTAAGTGTCACTTATTCTTGATATTTATTTATATTATTCATTCAAGTCTTCATTTGCAGCCACTCTTTATTTTTGTCTCTCTTTAACTTGTGTTTTTATAACTAATAATACTAGAAATCAGCAATACTTGTACTATAACTTACTTGCTGCGTTACATCATCAAAATTTTCCCTTTTTCCCCAAATTTCACGATTATCCTGCCAAATTTTGAGTACGTTTTTTTTCCAAAAACTCGTAGGGCTTATTATGATTCCCCTTTTGCTTTCCATTAATTTTTTTGAAATAAAAAACACAGCCCTCTAAATCTTGGTTTCATCAGTTTCATTGTCCTTCTCTTCTTTTCGTGTTATTATTGCTCCCTGCATTCATTTTGAAACGTCTATTAGTCATGTTAAGTTTTCAATGAAAAATAACATAACTTTAGAATAAGCGTCTTCTGTTACTCACGTTTATCTTTCATTGTTCTTCATCGATTTAGATCTTAATTATATGCTTTTGTCGAGACTTCTTATTACATACATTAATCTTACACTTTGATAGCTTTAAGTATTTTCGGTTCTAGTTACGAAGTAGTACTAAATAGACTCGTATTTTGGACCTTACTACTTGAATTCTATGTAGGATTCGTTAAGCTAATAAGCGACTTGTGAAACTAATAATTTGACTGATATTTATTTATCTTATCTTACCACTAATAAATGTGATTTTTAAAGTATTCATTCGGATGACAAATCAACTGTTCATTAAAAAAACTTCACAGGTGAGTCTAGGTTAAACCATATTATCAACACCAAGCTAAAGATACTTTCTCATTTTACTATGCACACATGACCATGCATTTGTTACCTAGTTGCCATCCCGATCTACATTTTTTATTTTACAACTATGGTCTACACCTTATACACGTAAGTGCCCAAAATTCACACATCATTTTTATTGTACGAACATTGATACTTTTCTTCATCAATTAATAGTAACTTCTAATTCATAAACTTATAAATTACTGATTTAACATCAACGGGATAATTTAAATGGTTATGCCAACAACTATCGTGTTAATTTTGTGGGTTAGTGCCATATTTTCTGATTCTTCCATTCTTATTATTCACAATAAGATTTATTCTACATCAATAACTGTTTTTGACAATATTACGAGTCAAAACTTCTTATATTTTACCTACACTTTAAACAATAATAACAACAAAATCAGTGATTATGATCTATAATATGATATTGAATGAAATGTTACAGCTAAATTTTGGTTTATTTGTCAAACAGGAACCCTTATACATACATATGGCTGTCCTACGTACTGCTGATTGTCGTGATAATTACTGGCAATGTCCTAACTATCATATCTCAGTGGCTGAACCGAAAAATATTTAGGGTAACCTCCAACTACTTGATACACAACTTAGCCATAGCGGATCTGTTTTGCGGCTTAGCTTTACTCTATAACACAATATCACGCACCGATGAAGTATCCAAAAATAAAATTGTGTGCTTGTTAAGGTGAGTAAGGTTATCATTAAAATAAGATACTTATGATTGATTGTAATGAAAATCATCAATTAATATTTGTCGTATACAAAAATTCGTTTGAATACTAAGAAAACTACCTTCATGTACAAAAAATTGGAAACATCACATTTCGCCATCACAAAACAAAGAGATTTAAAATGTTCTGTACCACGAGGTTTTACTATTTTGCATTCGAACAGGTTTGCCTTTCAATCAGGCAGCTGTATCGCAAGCTTTTACAGTGTCGTGACAATAGCAATCGATCGTTACGTTTCAATACTCTATCCGCTCGAGTATCCAGAGTACATCACCGAACGTAAAATATTTACCATGATATCTTTAATTTGGGGCATGAGCATACTCCTATCGACTGTACCACTTTACTGGAACACTTATGCTGACAGCTGCCACTTTTATACTGTTATTCCCAGGTGAGATGCAAAGTATTTTTACTTTTTTTTTGTTGCATACAAATATTTAAAACGTTAAATTTTTTAGGTGCTACATAGAGGGAGTTTGGCTACCCAATTTCCTTGTAGTTTGGCTCAGCGTTTTAATATTTTATTGGCGAATCTGGAAAACAGCAAGGGCATTTGCTCAAAGGTCCAAGGAAAGGTCGAGAGTAATCGGTGAGACCAGTTACGCAAGCTATAAAAGGAACAATTTAGTATGTATACACATATTTTTATGTACGAAAGCATAATCTTGACCTAAACTGTAAGACTGCATATAAGGAAGATATACATTTTTTTATTGTCATAATTTTTCGTTTTTCAAGGTAGTTCTCACCATCACAGGATGTTTCTCGATCTGCTGGCTGCCCTACGTTATTGTTTCTCTGGTAAAATTATTTGATCGTAGTCAAGACAGTGAAGGTTACATGTATTCCGTGGTGTTCTTGATAGCAATGAGCCACAGTGGTATAAACCCGCTCATATATGCCTGGAAAAACCATTTTTTTCGCAAAGCCCTCCATTGCTGTTTTAAACTTGAAGCAAAAAATCTTAACAATAACAATAAAAATATATGCAATGGTAATTTAAAAATAAAAAGCGAGTTAATCACGAATAGAGGCCACAATCTCGAGACTGTCGAAGCTTTAAAAACAATATCTGCTGAACTTGATGAAAAAGAGATTGACGGGAGCAAATGCCTATGTACTTTGTGTCCCTAAAATTTTAAACAATATACGCAAGTCACGCGCCATACTTTTAATTGTGATTTTTGTACTTCTGATGTGTGAAAGCCTAGTATGCTCATATTTTTTTGTTTTTTATTATTATTATTATTATTTTTTTTACAGATAACCCACATTGGCCTAATATAATACGCCTACTACACAGTGGTTTTTTTTTTTTTTTCCAACGACACAGAACGTCGCGAACACCTTCAATTTCCCAACTACATATTCGACTCCTTTTTGTGATGTGTGTTTACGTGTCGTGTGTCTGAGTATAACGTCGCATTGGAACAACTATATACTACAAGTTTCATACCCTCCCCCTAACGTACTTTTTTTTCCCTTTCAATAATCTCACACTTTTTTTTTTTTTTTTCCTGCCTGGGATAAAGAAAATCATTGCCCTCCACCTCGAGCGAATCTCCGGTTGAACACATAACACCGTGGCCCAGGCCCGGTTACCTGCCACTCCTCTCCCCTCAAGCCTCTCAGCGCCGTTCCGACGACACACGAGCGTCCCTTCTCCCCCATCGTAATTGCAATGACAAATCTGCGTGCCTCGTTACCAAGCCCAGTGGACGTCGCCCGCGCGTCGTCATTCGGCAACGGAGCTCTACAAACGGCGCGATCAAAGGTAACGACGACGACGACGACTGAGTCGGCATCGCCGCGGTTCTGCTGGAGGTTCGGCGAACTACTCCCCTAGTGGATGGGCGACTTGACGATGTGGTTTGGCGTGATGTATTGGAACGCCGGTACAGCCAAGCCGCCGGTCTCGAGCGATATCCTGGAAACAAAAGAGCGTCGGGTTATTGCGTGGGACTCCTTAAACAATACGTGTAGTGAGAAATAAAATGAGATTTGGCCAAAAAAAAGTCTTTTTTTTTTTTTCATCTTTGTTCAATTTTGTTGGCCACGTCAGCTACTTTTTTTGTTTCCATTGCCGACACAGTGAGCGTTTTTCGATAAAGAGATGACTTTTGTAAACCACATGTTTTTCCATGTGGGCCATTATTTTTGATAAGTCTCTCGATCGAAAAATGCTGAGATAAATAACAAGAATGTAAAATTGTATAGAGGACCATTTATATGGCATGCTGTGGGCGATTTTAAATTGATTCGTAAGAATGGCCTTTGTTGTAGAAAAAGCAGCAATGACATTTATTATAAAAGAAAAAAAAATGCACACGTATGCGAAGAAAAACGTAAGTAACATACATTTGTACTTTGTTATGTATATTAAATGTAAAAAGGTAAAGTGACAAGTTAAAAAAACAGTAAGTAAAAAAAAAAAAAAGTAAAAATCCTTTCTTTGTTTTTTTTTTCTTACAAATGAAATCCGTTTCCTTTTTTTTTCTTTCCACCACCGTTTCGTGACAAAGTTTGAATCTGCTCGATTGTACAAAGCCAGACAGACGTGGCTTTGCCAGAGAAAAAAAAGCACGATTAAACGGGATCAGTAGATTAAGAGGAGTAAAAAGGAGGAGCGGATGGTGCTTACCGAAGACGGGCAGGAGCCTGGGTTCAAGTTGGTTTGACGGATACATCTTCTTTCGCTCTTTTTCACTTTTTTTTTCTCGCTCACCACTTACTTATTTATTATTTTTTTTTTTTTTTCGCTTCTTTAAACACATCCTACATTATCGAGAAAGTACCTCCGTTTCATCATCACTTTGGCACTGTTCTTTTGAACTCTCTCTCTCTCTGTCTCTTTGCATATTATATTGCCGCGCTTATGGCGGCGTGGGACATCTCGCGATCGACAGTTCACTCGTGCGTGTACATATGATTACCCGTAAGTACATGTAATACACCTAGATCGCGGTTGTTGTTCGAGAGTTACGAGTAGGGCGTTCGTTGTTATCACATTTATTACGATTATTGCACCGTATACCAGTGATATACGCGTTACCTATATGTATACATAATAACACGCGCCACGAGAGGAGGGAACGTGGAATGACTGTTGTACGGGTAATATGGGTACAAATGTGTCTCTTGTAGTTATATATACGCTTGGAGTACATCCATGAGATGTCCTTCGAGCAATAGCGTTTATGTACTATACGGTTGGAAGGGATCTATGAAGGATCCAAACAAAGAAAAATGTGCGAAGGTTGTTTATCCGTCCGTACATGTATACATTATTACGATATAAATATGTTTCTGCGTTAAGATGACTTCCATTCCCATTGTTGTATATAAACGATGCCCATCATCTTCGTTCTTCTACGTGTGTCGCTTTTCTCCCCCCCTCCCCCTCCCCTCCGCCATTATTTGCAAGTCGAACTTATAATTTATCACCATCCGCATACATATGCATTCATATAGCTTCCTCGAAGCCGTGCAATTTGTCAAATGCGCGATGAAGTTGACTGCCACTAAGCCGTGAATTTATTACTCACCGGCTGGAATCGAAAAACAGAGTTATATACTTTAATAAAAACTATGAACTTAAAAAATCAGTGACAACTNATGTCCCCGGAGACTTTTTTTTCTTTTTTTTTTTTTTTTTTTTTTTTTTTTTGAACCTTACTCTGCTTTACTTTTAGTACGAGTCGGTTCGCGTGTTACTCTAATACACTTTTAATAATTTGAATACATGCATTACACGTAGATATTTTTAATTAATTAATTTATTTTTTTTGTTTATTTTTATAGTGACCCTGTTTATTAAAAGGCTTCGTAACATAAGTTGCTTTATACTTTTCCATTTTTTTTTGTCCAAAGTCGTAGTATAATGCAAACAGGAAAGTATACAGTTCAGTTGCGTCGCTTTTAAGGGTCATGAGTTCGTCATTGAAAACACCAATTTTCCCATACATCCGAAGCTTTCAGCGAAAACATTTTTTTTTTCTTTTACGCAATACGTATTGTTTGACAATTTGATTCAACGAAATTTTCAACTATTACTATACATTATGATTTAAGTACTTTAGAAGATGATGTTTAAATCACAACGTTTTGTACTTTTTTAAAAAAGCAATACAAACTTGCAGCCGTATTTAAGCAACGCAATTTTATTTTTTACGTTTTATACTCTTGAGTCCTCGAAATTACGAAAAAATATTTAAAAAACGATCTTACTAACTATAGTAACGTACTAAAAAATAAATATCACTGAATGTACAAGGGAGTTATCTGTACGAGGGAAGACATTGCGCCACTTATTTGTTAGTCGGATCTTTCGACTATTTTTATTTTTTTTTTCTAAATTCAACAATAATTTTTTTTTTTTTTTTCTAATTCTTATCGTTTCAACGATCGATTTTTTAGATTTTTTTTTTTGCACTCACCACTACTCGTCGTAAGCTGCATTTAATAAATGATAACAAATAAGATAAAAAAATAACAACATAAAAGATGTACTAACAAATTCAAATTTATTGAAAAAAATCGTTTTTTTTTTAATTTATTTAACAACATAAAAATGTCAAACAAAAAGTGTATGTATTCGTATGTGTATGTCTGTGTGTAAATTATGCATACATTAAAACTAAGTGTAATAAAATAATGAGTCATTTCAAAATAAACATCTAAAGTCGAATGCACTTTTTTTTGCCTCGAGTATACAATAATACTATATTATATTCTACATCGATTTAAAGCTCGTATGTTTTTTGTTTATTATTTGTTTGTTTGTTTTTTTTTCCTACGTCAGTCGCACATTTTACTTTTTATTCATAATCTACAAAACTTTCGTTACGAAGGGTATTAATATTATACTCACGCGCGCAACGCGATTTTGCAAATTTACAAAAGTTACAAAGATACTTTGTTTGCGCGTGTGCGCGCCGTTAGTTCCATAATTTCCTTACCCTTCGATTTTTTGCTTAAAGCTTCCGTTCGCTTAATAACTACGCCACTAATAATAATAATAATAATAATCGATCGTCGTCTAAAATTACACAGAAAACAGTCTAAGGAGTAAATGTGTATACCGTGGGGAAGTGGCAAAATTCTTTCTTCATTTGGCACGCGTTTCACGATTTTATATTTAATCTTCCTTTATAATCTCACGTGTATGTGTGTATATGTGGGTTTGGCACGTATGTTTGAGCCATCACTTTTTCATCGTATTATCATCACGTACATACATATATGTATATATTGGCACACAACAGCACATCGATTATACAGTATTTTTGTGAGTCGCGTTCACCTGTAACTTTAGCCAAGATTTTCCTTCTGTTTTCCTTCCCGTGAACCCACAACGTACAAAAAATATACCTCGATAATCTAGCGCTCGCCCATCGAATCGGCAAAATACCCGTGCATCACTTATGTGCGACGTGTAAAAATTGTTCACGCCCAAACGCTGCAATAATCGTTACTCGGTCGCACTCGGTGTACACGCATATATATTTCACCGATTTCGGACACCACTTCTCCTAACATTACAATTATTATTGTTATTATTACCATAGTAAATATTAATTCATCGTATATTTATGTATGTATTAAACTTGAAAAACTGATGAAACGAAGAGGAGGCGAGCGCGCGACTCAATATCCTATAAAAACTAATTGTATGTGTGTATATATATATATTATTTTCTTAGCTGATTGCCTTGTGTTACGGTGAATTTTGGAATCTGAACGCCGACCGATCGGCCCGCACTGGCTCGACATTTGCTCTTCTTGTTGGGCGAACCGATCGATCGGCGCCGAGTTCGCGCTGTAAGTTAAGGCCCCTGCACTAACGGATTGCTCTACGCCACAACATGAATTGCCCGTGCACGCCGATCACGTTTTTCTTCTCCCTCAATGTTCAACGCGATAACAAAATTTCTCCTGCTGGAACCATTTTTGTTTTCTTCTCTTGTTCACTATATTACATACATTAATGTTTGTTGTATCGTGTCGCTTTCGAAAAATTTCAAAGGTCCGAACGATGGAGGAAAAGGAGAAAAAAAACATGGACGAAATCGCTCACGACACGGCAATNGCCCAAACAAGCGGCCGATGTCACGGGTTGGCACTCTGCGAAGTCACCAGCACAGCTGCATCAACAGGGTGACGAGGGAAACCAAGACCGCGGGCACCCTGGCCGTGGTAGTCGGTGGCTTCATTGCCTGCTGGTTGCCGTTCTTCATTTGCTACCTGGCGACGCCGTTCATGCCCGTCGGGCCGCCGGATGCGCTCACGCTGGTGCTCACTTGGCTCGGTAAGCACAACTTTGCGGTACTACTTTAAATAAATACCGTTTTGGGGTGAGGAGCCATTGTAAAATATCTAACGTGTAGAAATCACGATTCCTTGTAACTTTTACGATGGAAAACGAAAGGGGGAGAAAAGTCATAATTCAAGGAGAGAAGAGTCTTTCCTGGGTTTCTTGGAGCAAATAATATGTTTTTCCTTTTTCTGTCGAATAAAATTTATACACCAGACGTTTTGATGTTGCGGCATAATGTAAAAACGATGCCGTTACAATGAACCGGCCGAGTAGACAGATCCGGCAGATATATATTCAAGTTTACACGTCAAAGGACTAAAGTGTGTTTCATCTTTTCATACAGATGTAACATTTGCACAAAGCCGGATTCAAGCCATCGACTTTTGTCTACGGTTTTCTTTCCTTCGTATAACTTTCACGACGTGTCAGGATCAATGTGATTTACCTACAGGCTTATGAAAGTAATACTTCAGCGTGTGATGTTAAATCATATGTCGCTTAGCCTAATCGTAAAGAAAGGCAATAAATTCTTGCTGACTTTTTTGTCGGCCTCATTAAATCCGTATTGTATTGTATTGTACAATCAGAATACAAAACAATATTAATGCAAC